GAAGCCCCGCAGCCGCGATAACCCGCGGCAAAATAAAGCGCCGTGACCTAGTAGTAGTAGTAGTAGTAGTAGCAGTAGTAGTAGTAGTAGCAGCAGCAGCAGCAGTGGTAGTAGTACTAGCACCAGGAGTGGTAGTAGCAGCAGAAGTAGAAGAAAACGAGGAAAAGGAGTCCAGTTAGCATTATCATCGTTATGCATTGTATGAGTCTAAATCTTGAAACTTACGTACGAGTTGGCTGGCTTTCGTAACTTTATTCGCGTTACAATCTACAAGTGCATCATGTTTGACTGCAGCTGCTCTGAGTCTTCTAGTTATGTAAATCTAGCAGCAACACCAGGCCCAACCTTTGAGGCCCCATGGGCTTCACAGTCCAGACTCAAGTCATGTGGCTGGAATTCCAGGGCCTTTTATCCAGAAGCACCATGGGCAAAATCCGCAGCGGACTCGAATTTGGACACCCGCACCCTGTGTTAGGTCATGCTCAAGGACAAGAAGGAGAAAGCCGAAGCGGAAGCAAAGAGAAAGAAGGCCCTAGCACCGCGCCTTTCTTCGTGTGCGGAGGATTTGGGCTCAAAGGGGAACCTCCACAACAAGACCTGGTTCTGCGTAACTGTTTTGAACAAAAGGCTCATTCAGCGAAATAATTACCAGACAAGAGCTTCAAAGTAATCTGGGTTGCTGTTAAGGAACTTAATTTAAGTTACTACATTGGGGAAACCCTATTATTTCCTATATATACCCATTATGGTAACTACATTTAAGTTCCTTAACAGCAACCCAGCAATGTTGGAGGTCCAATTTAAGAAAGCCGCCGGCTTCACCTACCCGCAAGCGGTCGCGTGTGTTCGAGCTTACTGGTAAACAAGTCATCAAGAGGAGAATGCGCAAGTGTGTTGAAACAATTGTATAGCACTTTAGTAGGGTTCATAACATGGATGCCATGCAAACTTCCCAGCGGTAGTTTGCAAAGACAGTAAAAACAAACAAGACGCCCACACATCAGAATTATGTAGGAAAAGACTCTCCCACCCAAACATGAAAGGCAATGTTTTTGAACCCTCAAGTCCCTCTAGCGCACTCTACCGCGCAATGGCATCCGCAACCCTGAACTCGAAATAGTCCTGTGACGCAGCATTGCAGGCAGAAGCTCTCGCCAAGCATGCCGAGGAGGAGAGGCGTAAGAAGATCCGGACTCAGACTGGGGAAAGGCACCCAGGTCAGCTACAAAACTCTTCGGGGCATGCTGGGGTTAGATGGGGATCTACAGTATTGGGCATGCAGGAAGATATGGAGACGGACTTAAGGTAGTACAGCGCGTAGTTTTTAGCACGGTCTCAACTTTATTCCACTACAGCAATTGTTGTAGATTACGTGTTCAGGACTTCCGTGGGGTTTGCTGATGTATTTATATTCCGGATTATGTAGCGGTTCTGTGTGGATTACAAAAATTTGCTCATTGAAGGCGATCTCGAAAGCTGTAGGCTAATGTTCGGATTCTTTTTATTTCGCCCTGAACGCACGGTGAATTTGGTCATTTGCTCCTTGGGAAGGGTATCTCGGATTAGTCTCCGGGGATTTTATCCATTCAGGCTCTGCGCACCTGGCTGGGAGTTCTAGAGCTACTTGTAAGCACGAATATAGGTAAGAGTAGAAGTTGAGGACTCCGTTTTGACATCCTGCATCCCAATTCGTGTGGCGGAGCTGAGTTGCGCTCAGTTTGGGCGACTTTCAGCACTCCCCCATACTCAGTTGCTTGGCCGTTGATTCAATTTGTGCGAAGTTCCACGGCCTGAAATCTTTTTTTGGTGACGGGCTTACATTACCGAGCCCTGAAACGCAGGTCCTTTGATCGCAGATTGAGCTACAACACAGATTTGTTTGGGTCCGCCCCTCCTGTATACGGACCATGTTGGCAGGCTAGGGCAGCAATCAGGATCCAAGGCTAAACAATCAATCGAAGTTCCTGATTGGGTTTTACTATTTTTTTGGGGGTGGGGTTCTCGGTCCCTGTAATAGTAATAGTAAAGCCCCACATATGGTACCATTATATACAAGGCAAATGTTTTGTGTTTAGGCGGCCCATAATTCTGGGGGAGGTGATTAATCTTTACATCCTTTCAATGGGATGTGGACAGAAGTTGTCACAGGCATTTTTTAGGTTGACGCCCACCCTGTACTAGTGGTATAATAGGAATATAAGAAGACCCTAAGATAATTACCATTATCCCTTATAGTCACAATTACCGGGTGGGGGGCCCTAAACCCTAAACCTTAAACCCTCACCCTAAATCCTGAACCCTAAAACCTGTCCCTTATAGTCACTATTCCTGGGTGCGGGGTTACACCTACTAGGGCATGTAAAGGGTCCTCAAAGTGCATGCCTTGTCTGCGGATTGCTCGCTTCGGATTAACTTATTAACCCTACTTGGACGTCCAAAGCATGTAGAATTGTGGACTTCATCTGTTTGACATTTAAGGTTTTTGGACTATCATGTTGCCTACCCTTGATCTCCAGCTAAGCCTTAAACGCCACATTTGCATACAAAATCAGGGCCCTGAAAGGCCGGATTTAGCGTAGCCCGTTTGACCGACCGAGGCGCCTCGAGCAGCAGAAGCAGAGAGAAGCTGCCAAGGCGGTTGCATCAGCAAATGCAATTGGATTACTTAGTGGCGCTTTCGGGGGATCGGGTCCGTGAAGCAATTCCTAGAGTCCTGGCAAGTCCCAGTACCTATATTCATTCCCTCTTCACCACCAGTAAGAACAGGGTCACACTTTTCTCCACTGAGATATCAGGTGTCATTTTCAGGTGCATGGAGGGGACCCCAACAAGAATGAGGTGCAAACGCCTGCGCTAATCTTGGATTTTCTTTAGAGCTTCGGGGTACGAACCCGTAGAGGTCTTTGCTGGCGTGAAGGAATCTTCATGCCGCAAGGGTTACAGCTGCACAAGCTTTTGTGGGAAGACTGTCCTGGCCTGCAAATCTTACTGGTTCTTAGTAGGGAATAGGGAATACAATCCCTATATCACCCCTATAGAATATATTCCCTCATTCCCTGCTAACAACCAGTAAGAAAAGCTTCAGGATGGAGATGGAGCTGAAGGCACCCGGCAGCGGCAAGTCTTTTGTGCGCTCGTATGTTCTTTCTGTCATCATCCCTGCATCGCTTGGACTTGGCTGCACGTAGCTAATCTGGCAAATCGCTGTTACTTGTCCCAGATGACTGTTCTGCCAAAATCTGGACCACAGGCGAAGAGGAGCAGAAGGAGGACAAAGAGGAGGGCAAGGAGGAGGGCAAGGAAGAGGAGCAGCCGGAGGAGAAGGAAGAAGCAAAGGAAGAAGAGAAGGTGGCCTGTTCTGGGTTCATCATGGTTCATCTGCAAGTCGACATAGCTCTTCTTGTCCTGAGATCATGGGTGCTTCTCGGGTACGTAGTCTCTCCGAAGTTATCTCAGTCCCAGCGACATCCCCAAAAATTGATAACTTCCGCTGATACTCACATTCCCCGATGGATCTTGGGCACCCGTAAAATGTGTTAGGCCTGCATAATAGCCCGAGGACCAGCCTAGCCTTCTGCATTTTGCAGCAAACAGCGCGGTGGCTCTATCAGGTTCTTGCGTTCGAAGCAAAGAGAAATGGTTGGATAAGCGCTCAGCGTGCCGGAGCAAGCGCAAGGCTCCGTGCACTTGCAAGTTGACTGGATTTCGACCGGTCGTCCAGAGCAACCAGCGCGCACGGCACGGGCTTGCGGAGTGCTCATCGCGAAGAGCCTCAGGGGCTCGAAATCGTGCTCTTGCATGGAGTGTCGCAGTTTGGCCTCAAAATCTGCAACCAGCTCGCGTTGAGCATCCTCATTAAGTAGGGTTTCAAGGCCCACGCCCACTGAGCAGCGTTTTTTTGGTTTTCTCCGCTTGTCTTCAGTGAACTTGTCGGCGACACAAAAAATGTGCTCCGAACTGTGGTCGCAGAAGAACGCGAAAGGTTCGCGGAAGGTTCGTTGAAGGAACAATTTGCAGGATGTCAAAAACTTGGTGACGCTCTGGGCCGTGGAAGGGTTTCGCGGAAGGGTGTTTTGCGTCAGAAGAATGTAGATACGGTAGAAAAGAAAAACACGTGTTCAAAAGAATTCAGTGTAGCGGCGGAGCGCACAGCCTATTGAGCTAACCGGGCTTCCGGACAAGTGCCTCTACAAAGAAAGGGCTTGAGGCTTCTAAGTTCCCCATTTCTCGGAGGCCGTATGGCCAAGGTGGTGTGGAGGGGCTCTTTGATTGAATAAGAGTGCAAGAAAGCACTGTCAAAGAAGGACCACGCAACAACCTGAATCACTAGGAAAGTGAACTTGTATTTGGGGTTGTATGTTTGTTGAAAACCCTTGTCCCATCTTCAACGCACGAATCACCAGCAAGGCACAACCAATTTTGAGGCATCCATCTCTATCCGGAATGTCTTCCCCAAAACTTCCCAAAATTGCTAAACTCCGTGAACCCTACAACCCTGTAAGCCCAGAACCCTGTAAGCCTACAGCCGCATACCCTGTAACAACATAGGACCCCTAACCCCTAAATTCCTTGTAACTACATAGGACTCATCAGCCTTGAACCCCTCTCAGATTCCTTAAGTGCACATTAAGCCCAGGGCTCCCCCAAAACGCCAGGCGGAAGAAGCTAAAGATGAGCCCATGGAAGAGGTGATCGGATCAATAACGCAGTTTACGGCTTAGGGCTTAGGAACCTGAATGATCAGAATCCTTTAAATTTATCTGGATGTCAGGTTTTATAGGGTTTAGGGATAGA